TTTTAATGAGTTATTGATTATGTAAACTACATATCTGTAAATTGTCAGGGCATTTGTCAATGCCAAAAAATAATTAAAAATCGGCAAAGATGGTGGTGTTGAAAAGGTGCTGGCACACTCACTCATTTTAATTCTCTTTTTATTTTTTCTTATTTTTATCATAGTGTTTATTTTCTGTATTGGATTTTTAATTCAAATTTGGTAAAGAATTTGGACGTAGTTCTCAGGCAAATGTTGTTTAGTTTATTTGTCTCCATAACATAGTTTTTTTTTCGGAATTGTTTGAAAACTTTCTTTTTTTTTTTTTTTTTTTTGGTCCGCGTTCGGCTCGAACGGCCGAACGCCTCCCGAAGGGGTCCCCGTACGTTCGGGCGTTCGGCCTGTCCCGAACGCCGGTAACTTTGAATACAACACACTGTACGGCTCTCATGTGGTCTGCACTGGCCTTGCTACTCATGGACTTTGAATCTAATAAATTTTTTTATTTTTTTTTTTTCCCTTTCAGATGATTTTCTACAGGCCCGCTCTAATGACATTTCTTTTTTTTTTTTTTTTTTACAATGCCGTAGTTCGACTGACAGCAACTCGTTATGTATACTTTCCCGACACCATGAAAACTTTTACTAGCCCCACGCACCCCGCCCTCCCTTGGCCGACGATCCCCTTCCCACACGAGCCCTGACCACATGCTCCTCCTGTTCATCACAGCTATTATCATGGTCTTCTTTACCAGCAGAGCATCACAGTACCGTCATAACGCCCCCTCATAATCAGTGTAAACAAGCTATCTTTGAGGTCCAGTGCAGCCATAATGAAGGACCGTTGGGTTTTTCGGAAGAAGGTGCAAGGATTACCCCTGGCTGACGCGAAGGTTCAGCATCTTGCCTTAGCAATGCAGGGAGATATGATCCTGGTCAGCTCATAATGCAAAACTCAAGAAGAGACAATGCTATTCCAGCGCAACTCCAATGAAACCCATAACTAATCTTAAAACACCATGACTACCAGCTGGGTGGGTGTTAAGGTCCGAAATTGAAAGTCACCATTTTTATTTGTTTGGTTTCAGCCAAAAGAAGACACATGAGAGCAGAATGAGACAAGGGAAGAAGAAGAAGAAGAAAATGGAAGAAGAAGAAGAAGAAGAAGAAGAAGAAGAAGAAGAAGAAAAAGAAGAAGAGGAAGAGGAGGAGGAAGAAGAAGAAGAAGAAGAAGAAGAAGAAGAAGAAGAAGAAGAAGAAGAAGAAGAAGACAAGCTGGAACCAATGTCATCACCCTCCTTCCTCGCTTTCTCCTCGTCTCTCCCTCAACATCACCTCCCACGTCACATTAAAATAATAAGAAACCAACAACGGTAATGAATGAATGAGCCCGAATCAATGTCCGACGATTACTCCCCCTTACTGCCAGCCTTGGAAGGAGCCCTCCTTTATTTAGCCCATGACACCTTCCTTCCATCCACCTCGGTATGGGAAACTGGCTATGGCGGAACATCCAAGGTCTCCTCGGATGTTCAAAGGACAGCGCAAATGCCTCTCATGCCCTCTCCATCATCCACCACCAAGCCTGCTGTTCCATCCATACCCAATTAGTACCCCTTTCAGGGGCCTTCCCTGATGCAGCACCCACCTTGGGGAAGTAGATGCAAATCCACCATACCCAAAGGTGGGTCTCCTACTTGGTTATCACCTCCTTCCTTCTTCCTCAACCTCTACTACACCATAGACTGATCTAGAGGTCCTTCTAGCCGTACCTCCATAGCGAAGGACTACTCCTACCTCTCCCTGCTCCACTTCCATAGCCATGGAGGTCTTCTCCTTCACCCTGCACCTCCACCTTCAACCTCCAGGAGCTTCACCACTTCCCCCTCTTGGCATAGGACTACTCCTACCTCTTATACACATCTAGATGTGTATAAGAGACAGGGACTACTCCTACCTCTCCCTGCTCCACTTCCATAGCCATGGAGGTCTTCTTCTTCACCCTGCAGCTCCACCTTCAACCTCCAGGAGCGCCACCACTTCGCCCTCTTGGCATAGGACTACTACTACCTCCCCCTGCTCCACTTCCATAGCCATGGCGGCCTTCTTCTTCACCCTGCAGCTTGACCTTCAACCTCCAGGAGCGCCACCATTTTTCCCACTTGGCAGAGCAGCAGCCTGACTGCGGGGTGAATGAGTAGACCGCTTATGGCACCAAATGACATACATATGACCGCCTGGCGTCCATTCCCTCTTGGTCGGGCACTTCCTGCCTCTGTCGGGCCTTCCTTGGATGCACTACGTGTAGGTCTTAGGGGGTGTTCCCTCCTTTTGCCAGAAACATCACATTGCAAACTGATATCTATCCACAGACCCTGAACCTAGACTTCTACCGGCCTACATTCCGGCCCTGGACCCTGCTGGAAATCTAACGGCCCCCTTCCAGGCCCAATCCCCTACAGCGCCTCTAACAAATTCTACTCATGTCCCTGTGCTCTACACTACCCCCAATTTTTTGTCCTTCCGCAAACTTTCCATCCTGCCCCTGGTTATTTCCCTATTACTACTACTACCCTGTCCTTGTCCAACGCACAGCCACACAACATAGCCACAGAGTTGGCACACAGATCCAGAATTAGTCGCTGGCTAGGGCCAGCGGGGGTACTTTCTTGGACTCAGGCAGCCACACCGCAGACACACGTTAGCAGTAGACGACACACATACTTTTCCGTCCTGCCCCTGGTCGTTTCCCTCTTACTGCTAGCCTGTCCTTGTCCCCGAGGCACAGTCACAAACCACAACCACAGAGTTAGGCAGGCACACCACGGACCCAGAATTGCACTCAGCGCAGGCACACCACAGAGAACACGTTAGCCGTAAGACCACATACATGCATACTTAGAAAGCACAGCGAATGGCAGCAGAACATACTGAGGCTTGGGATTCTCAGAAAACAGATCAAAAGACAGCATTTTCTCGGACATTGCCGAAATCTCAGACAGCGATTTGTGAGGGTCATTGCAAATACAATGGGGTCATCTAAATGAAGAAGAAGGGGGTAAACAAAAAACAAAAACAAAAAACAAAAAACAAAAAACAAAAAACAAAAAACAAAAACAAGACCCTGGCCATTCCACGGATGCCGTTCATCTCATGATCCTGCAGTCAGTAAGAGCGGTTGATCCCATGAGTCTCAAGGGGCGTTGCAGCAGTTCATCCCATGAGCCGTGGCAGTGCCCAAGACCCAGCCAGTCGTTAATGATCATACGCCGTGGGACAGCAAATCTTAGTCTCCCCCCAGAAAACTTGCTCAACAACAACCTTCCCGTTCTCTCTTCTTCTTCTTCTTCTTCTTCTTCTCCTTCTTCTAACAGCAATCACGTTCACCGGCTTCCTCCTCTTCCTTCTGCCTTGGGCCTGATGATTGTCCGGCCACCCATGTAAGGATGCAGTGGTTCTGGAATCAGCACAGAGCCGTCTTCTTGCTGGAACGTCTCTAAAATAGCTATAATCATCCTGGGAACAGCACACGCCGTAGCATTAAGAGTGTGTACAAACCGCGGGCTCAACCGACGGGCTGACTTCTTCTTTGGGCTTCTTTTTTTGCTGTTGCTGCTGCTGCTGCTACCGCTGTTGTTTGCATCATCAGCAGGTTGAGCTTGTCCTTCAACTGTGGCTTCTGAAAGAGGCTCCTCGAGGGTGCTGTCTACGACAGCAGGGCGATAACGGATGTTGAGCCGCCGAGCCTGGTAATCAGTACAGTTGGAAGCGCTGGAGATCTCTCCATATCTGCAAAGCCCTGGCATCCATGCCTCCACATCAAACTTGCGATAGGCTGGGGCACCAAGATCCTCAGAAGGCATGTCAAGGGTTTTGAAGTGGAGGCCGAGAGACGTGAACATCTCCTCTTCTATTGTAATCAGCTCCTCATGCATCTCCTCGCTCTCTTCCGGCCGGCATATCGCGAACATCTCTGCTTTGCTGAACTGGTGTACGCGGTAAAGACCCCTGCTGGCTGCACCAGGAGCCCCTGCTTCTGTGCGGAAGCAGTGGGAAAAGGCTACCAGCTTCAGAGGCAGCTCCGCATCTGACAATATCTTGTCCATGAACATTCCCCCCACTGGGATTTCCGCTGTCCCCGCCAGACACAGATCCATGCCCTCCACTGAATACACCTGCGTGTTGCTCGCTCGAGGTTGAAATCCGCACTTCTCGACGACTGCCGATCGCACCAAATCAGGTGTACTCAGAGGGGTGAACCCCCTCCCAACGAGGTGCGACATGGACCAATTTATCAGCGCCGCCTCCAAGAGAACCGCTTCATTTTTCAGGTAGTAAAACTTCTGTCCGCTGACCTCTGCGGCTGAGTCGAAGTCAATCAAGTCGAGCTCCTTTGCCAGTTCCACGTGGTCCTTCGGCTTGAATTGGAAATCCGGCTTCAACCCAACCATTCGTCTCAGCGTAGCACAACCTTCTCCACCGGGGGGAACCTCAGGATGTGTACTGTTGGGTATTTTCTGGCCTTCCCGTTGCAAGTCGTCCGTTATCTTTGACAGTTCTGCCTCCAGCGCTGCAAGCTGATCCTTGAGCAGCTTTCCTTGCTCGACCAGCTCAAGTCTCTTCCCCTCTTCCTGGATCGTCTTCATCTCATTGGCCACCGCATTTCGCTGCTGCCGCAGCTCATTAATGACCTGGGTCTTACTCGAGAACTCTTCATACAGAGCGACGACCTTGTCCACGTCTGCCGTGGAGTCCCTTGCGCGCACATTGGCCAGCACTTTGTCCCGCTTGTCCCGGACGTACTTGAAATCAATGTGAGCGTGCCACGTGGGCCGATCGACCGCCGAGGAGGCAGCGGACGACGAGGCGCTGAGCGCCGCCTCCGAGCCCTCCTCGACGGGGACGTTGTTGGAGTGATCGGCTTCGATCGCTTCGGTGGCTGACGTGGCGGACGTCGCTGCGTGGGATCGGGTAGTGCTTGCGCGGCAGTAGCTGGACACGTGGCAGAGCGGCACACCACGCGGTCCCGACCCGCCAAGCCTTCTTTCAGACGCCGCCGCCGCCGGGAGAGCGCAATCAGCCGTGTAATGACACGTGGCCCAGTTTCTGTACGAGCGACGCAACGTCTGCGCCGCCAGAGAGCTAGGTATGGACGTCCAAAGGCCATCATTACCTCTAGCTTCGTCCATCAAACAAGTGGAATTGGCTACCCTCCTCGGCAGTTGACACGTGACACCACCATGTACGCCTACCCCTCTCCTTGCCAAACCCAGCGTTTTAATCGCACGCTTCCCGCGACTGGTCCCATGATGCCGGTCAACGAACGTTGCCTCCTCCACAGACGAGGACGACGATGAGGATAATGACGATGATGGCGAAAGTGCTGATGGAGGACCGACCCCGACATCTCTCTTACCCCGTCCCGCCAAGCTCCCTCCCCCCCCCCGGCTTGTGCCGGCGCTCAACTGCGTTCCTCGGACTGAACTCGAGATCGAACCCCTTCCAAGTTTTGATCCTGGAACGGAGTCCAGAACAGCTGCCGCACGTTGAGCTGTCCATCGAATAGAAGCCTTCATAGGTCGCGCTGCCCTTCTTCCTGCCCCCCGGCTTCAGACGCCCTTACACGTGGCCGCCTGACACGTCGGATAACCTGCCAAAAGCGCGAGCCCGTTCGTAAACCGGAGCTCAAAGTAATGCGCGCCCCATAGCCGACTTGCACACGTCAATCCGCTGAAAAACTCCTCCCACGCATGGCAGATGGCCACTCTCGGTACCGCCGAACTCTCACAAGTTCCCCTTTCCGTTTGTACCACGTTTGTACCATCCCGCTGGCCTCTAGTCTATGGCCGGTGCATCCAAAGCGCGGCCTCCGTTTCCACCAGCGGAAGCTCCACCCTATTTTGCGGCACCTAAAATTCTGAACCATGTCCTTCCTTCAGGACATCCGTTAAAATTTGAACGATAGAAAGAGCATGAGCATGGCCCCTGCGCAAGGGTGGGAAAAAAAAAAAAAGGAAAAAAAATCCTGAACCGTTGCGGGCAAAGGCCACTGGCAATCCAGCGACCTAGCTCAGGCCCGGACCCCACAGGCATGCGGGAAAGTGCAGGTTTTGGCGCCGAGGATTTGCTGTAATGATGACGGAGGATTCCGTGGCACCCTATAATTCCCAAAAAAAATGCCAAAGGCAAGGACCCCACAGGACCGCGGAAAGGAAAAACTTTGCCGCAAAGCTGTTTCCAGGACCCCGCAGCTTGCCGCAAATGTCCTGGAAAAGGTGAAATTTCTTCCGCAAACCCTTTTCCAGGACCCCACAGACCGAAGATTGCGGCTTGGAAAAACATCAATTTGTGTTTTCACTTAGTCCGCGGCTTGGAAAAGTCTCACGGGAGGATTCCTCGCCGCAATTTTGTGCCGACTGTAGAGGGTAGGGGGGAGGGCATGTTGTTCCTGGAAAAGTCTCGGGAAAGGCAGCAGCCAATAGCGATGAGGAGTGCCACCAAAAAAAAAAAAAAAAAAAAAGGAAAAAAGAATAAAAAAAACGAGTGCCAACGGACACAGGCAACGATTGGCTCAACTGATTTCCAAAGGGTTTTCCAAGCGCATTTGGCCCTCTGCGATGGGGTCCCGGAAAAAGTACTGTCCAACTTTCCAAAATGACTTGCCTGCTTTTCGTGGGCAAACCACTTTTCCATCCGCAAAGCTGTGGGGTCCAAGCCAAAGTTACATGGTAGGTCCCAAAGAGGGCCTCCGTTGTGGGTGGAGGCAGCAGGGGTGGACGTGAAACGGACATCTGCAGGAACGAAAGTACCCTCCGTCCGAACGCAAGTCGTTGACCGTCACTTTTCCGTTAGCGAAAACAATGGAAACATGTCCTATTTCCGTACGCCACACCTTGTGGTCGCAGTGGGGTCCCGCCATCCTTTGAAGGTCCGTTCGCGGTGGACGGGAGCCTGTATGTGTGGCTACCCATTTTGCTTTGCCGCGGTGTCGAGCGCATCAGCTCCCGCCATTTTCTCAAAAGGCGAGAGCCCTCCCGTCCATGTCACGCAGGAGTAAACAAAACAAAACAAGATATAACTTAGGGAAGACGCAAAATAACCCCGCGAACGCTGAGACGAGCATGGTCGCATCATCCCTTCGCAACTCTAACCGGGTGCGCCAACTGTACTTCTCACGGTCCCCTACGACAAGATAGGTTCTTGCGGGGCACAACTTACCTTCCCTAGGGGGCTCAGGTTGGTGGTAGGGTGAAATGAACGACTTTGGCATCGCGTCTCATCAAGTCAAAACTAAAACAGTCCGACTACCCTGTCGGCTGCATCGAGGATATTGTCGAACTCAACTTTTTGTTGGTTGTTCTGTATAGTTTTTTTTATCGAGTTCGACCCAAGGTGGTTGAATTTTATTTCGATCTTGTGTTATTGGATGTACCATATGATGATTATTTCATATTGGATATACCTTCTTATCGACTACAGTCCATTTCTTTTGATGTAATTATGTATGATTATTATAACTTTCTTTTAACTAATGTCTAAAAGGACTAGGATTGAGTTGAGGGTTTCACGCTTGGTTGAGACCGTCCTAGTCGATCGGCGTCTGCTTCGTACTTAGGAGATCAACGTTTTGAGGAACAAACGACGCTCGGGTTCACTTGGCGTTTAAGCAAGTGTTTCCTATGCTGCAGCGAATCGAGCAAACACCCTCGGCTGATCTACCTCTATAATTGCATCTCAAAGTTTTTACACGTGGGTCAGTAGCTCGGTAGGGATACGCCCCTAAGGATGGTGAGTTGTGCCCCGCGGGAACCTATTCTGTCGTAGGGGACTGTGAGAAGTACATCTGGGGTACTCGGCTAGAGCGGCGAAGGGACGATGCGACCACGTCCGTCTCGATGGTTCGCGGGGTTATTTTGCGTCGTCCCTAAGTTGTATCTTGTTTTTTCTTTTTTTACTCCTGTGTGACACGAACGGAAGGACTCTCACCTTTTGCAAAAAAGGCGGGAGCCGATGCGCTCGACAGCGGTGCTGTGGGGTCCACCCCTCAGTTGGTAAGGCACGCAAGTGACACTCACGAGATCATGGGTTAAATTCCGATTGGGCTCACGAAGATGTTGGGGCATGCTTGGCGCCCGCCACCTAGAGATAGCCCCTTGCTCCCTGCTGATGTTCATAAGGGGAGGGGTAATCGGGGAGGCACAGCGACTGACCACTCAGAGCCTGGTTGCACTACTGTTCATACACCAAGTTTGGTGAGTAGGAGTGGTTGCACTTAGGGGTTGATCCCACCTCTTTTCTTTATGGGAAGAAAGTTAAAAGAACCGGTTTTTCAAGGTCCGTCACGTTCGCTCCGTGTTATAAAATTTGGATCTCACATGCCCACCAAACACGCTACTTTTACTAAGGACGAGGCGAGTTGTGGGTGGCGAGGTAAACCTGGCCGGGGAGATGTGTCCAGGCGGACACTTCGTGGGGTGCGTGTGGCGGGCCGTTATTGTGTGGTAAAATATGTACTCAAATGTGGGACATCGCCAACAACGATGGAACCGTCCTGGTTTTTCCTCACGTCGCACACCTCTTCGGGCCAGAGGACATTCCAAGACAATGATGCGGACATCTAAAAAAAAAAAAAAAAACAGAAAAAATACGTCTTCTTTTTCGGGGAAGGGTACGGGGGTGGTGTCTTTTGGGTTTCTTGAGAAAAGCCTCGCCGCCAAATGCGCTCTGCATGCCACGTCCCCAGAGGTTTCCACTTCCACGAAAAAAGAGGGGGCCCTCCGCATTGTGTGGAAAGAGGTGGGATCCAAAAAATTCCCTAAAAGCGTCTCGCCTACAAGAGGTGGGATCAGCCCCTTACTCGCCAAACTTAGTGCGAGGAAACATGTCATAACTTTTACCGTTTCAATCCGCCACAAAGTGCGGCGAGTTCCCGACTCTATTATGCCATCCTCGTGACGTCCACGAAACAAAGCTTGGCGAGTTTCACGAGCAGAGACCAAGCACTGGCGCAACACTCCCAGTCTCGCCGACGGGCTACGGAGAAGCGGGCAAGCGCGGAAAGCGCATGGCGACGAAGGACAACGGGGAGCATCAGTGAGCGGAGAGGCGCGAAGGAAGAGGTTACGGCGCATGGCGACAAAGGGCGAGCGGAGAGGCGCGATGGAAGAGGATGCGGACAGGGCATGTGACGAGCGGTGATAGGTGAAAGGAAGAGGTTTTAGGGCGGGGGGGGTGGGGAGGGTGGCTATGATCGTTGTGTAAACCGGTTTGGTGGATTTCGCCAATAGGAAGGGGTCGAGGGTGACGATTTTGCAAAAGGCTATAACTAGGGTGCTTCGTTCATCCAGATGAGTGTTTCTATTTGGGAAACGACTTTGGCTTTCTCCGTCTACAGAGCTGCTAGTCTAGCGAGCGTGGTTTTTTTTCTGGTATTTTTTCGAGGTTGCTTTTCTACAGGTTTCGCATCATCAAGATTGGAAGTGAGTGAAGATGTTGAGTGGGGTAGAGGTAGAGCTTGGGCGATGAGATTGATCTCCCCCCTCCTTCCTCAATTTTGATGTGAATGAATGTCTAGTAGGGTTCGAACCTCTTGCGCCGACTCACTGACGAGTTTGGTGAGGTGGAGTCACACTGTCTTCTGATTCTTGAAGGATTGGAGATGACCGTTGTTGTCTTCGGTGTTAGCATTGCCTCGATGCTTAGTAGCTAACAGTGGGAGGAGGGGGGTCCTCTCTCCCCGAAGATGGTGGGGTAGGGTTTGAGGGGAAGGGTGGCAAGTAGGTGGGTCAAGGAAGGGGGGAGGAGTTTTTTGGGAAAACTTTATGGTTGAGGGTGAAATTTTCTATTAGGATGTTCTGCGTAATAGCCGTGATTTAATAGGAATTAAGTACGATTTTGAAAGGAGTTTCTTATGATTGTCTTCGCCCTCTCACACATAATTGATTGTTGAGATATTCTTCTGTTTAGCGTCGATTTGTTTTTCTGTTTAGTGATTCTTGATTTACTGTCCTAAGTGATCTTTGATTTTTGATATCTCCTAATAAGATTAAGTACGATTTTGAAAGGAGCTTCTCATAACTTTTCAATACGGGTCAATTGTCTTTGCCCTCTCACATACAATTGATTGACGAAATGTTTTACTGTCTAGCAACGATTTTTTATAATCAGTAATTTCTTGATTTATGGTCTGAGCGATTTCGAACCTCGGGGTTTTGGAAATCAGAGTCGTAAGCCCTCTTGGACATCAAAATTGATTCCCTAGTTTGGTTCCCTATTTGGATTTTCAAATCTTATTAAATATTACTTTCAATCTCATCTTTTCTCAAATTTAAAATTTATATTCTGATTTTCTGCGTGGAATATTTTAAAATTGTTTTCTCTCAAGTAATTAGTCATAGTTATGATCTGGTCTTGTAAACAAAAAGGGGAAGGTTGAAGTAGAGGCAAGATGGAAAAGGGGGGGG